CCTAAATCACTCGTACGCACAATTTAAGAACAAATCTGTGCGTACGAACGGTTTTTGCATGAGGCCCAATGTTCTGTGTTCCAAACACTTCTGATCAAAGGAGTTCACACATTTATTCAACAGTGGATTTGGAGCTGAATCTATCTTTTTAGAATACACACTCAGCTGACCCCTGGTGTTACATCAGCCTTCAGTAATCATTAGCCACATACTTGTGTTTCTTTGACTGGTTTGTTTGTTCTTTTTCATACTTGTGTGGCTCAAATGAAAACAACAAAAAAACACCATTGTGTTCCACGTCTGTTATTTACTTCTCAAGAGTACTTGGTACTATAATTGTTTGTGTTGGACTTGAAGCAAAGGACGTTACACTTGGGTTATTTATAAAATTGCTATAATTATTTTTGTTCCCCTTCATTTWAACAATATAAAAGACCAAACCTCCAAAACTGAAGGATATAATTCCAGAAAACTAATAACTCTTAACACAGCTGTTTTTGTATTCTACTGTTCAACAGTTGATAATGTCACACAGCAATTGTTTCTGTGGATTAATGTATGTATCTGCTGCTGCTATTACAGCTGAATTTCCCCACCATGGGACATTAAAGGCTGTTTCTATTCTATTCTATTCTACTTCAGTTTCTTCGGCCCTATCCTGTAACAGTAGCTCCCTCTCAGTGTTGTCAACTTAACCACTTTGTCAATAGATTTAGTGAGTTTTCAGAACACTCAAAAACTTTTTATCCAAAAACTGACTACCAACAAATCCTGCAACATTTTACGGTGTTATTGAAGACTTTTGAAGAATACACTTTTTACGTTGAGGAGAATGTGTCAYGACCCCCACCCCAAGCACTGACAAGCTGTCTGATTCGCTGTAGTTTAGCGCAGCAACACCAGCTCCACTCCACACAAAGTGTAGTCCAAGGCTGCAMATTATTCATGCATGCTGTTTAGTCCCAATCCCTTCATTTCYCCTTGCACACTGTGTGGAAATGYMCTTACTTTCACTATTAAACATAGCCGAATTCTCTACTGTTGTATTTCTAAAATTTGATTTCACAAAAGCAACGTTTCATTGAGTTAATATGTTGGGTATTTCTTAACCCAATTTTCAAAGTTGTACTTTGAAAACCCCAGGTATATTTGGTATCATTGYCTTTATGATGCCAACTAAACAACTTTGGTCAAAGTTTTAGAAYTCCTTCCAAAATCTACTCACAGAAGTTTGCTTGAGTATAGTCCAGTTCTCCCTGACAGATTTGGTGGAACTGACTCAGGTTTGTTCGCACCTCAATTCAGCTCTACACACACCCAAGGATGAACCAGTGATGTGGAGGTTAATTTTTGGCCCGGTACCTTGGCTGACTTCTGCTTTATTTTTTTCTGCATGGATTTTCATATGTTTGTTTAAACTGCACCTTTTGATAAACCTTCGCCCACAAACAACACAGTAAATAGGCTTCTTTCCTGAGTGGAAGGCCCTGTGTTTATTTAAACTGCCCTTTTCGTTAAACCTTCGCCCACACACATCACAACAAAATGGCTTCTGCCCTGTGTGGATTCTCACATGTCTAGTTAAACCGCACTTTTGACTAAAACCTCGCCCACACTGATCACAACAAAATGGTTTCAATCCTGTGTGGACGTTCATGTGTCTGACTAATGCCCCCTTTCGACTGAACTTGAAGTCGCAACGATCACAACARAATGGTTTCTGCCCTGTGTGGTCTTTCATGTGCCTGTTAAAATCTCTCTTTTTTCCYAACCATTCTCCGCATAGAGGACAGCAATATAACTTCTGCACTGTGTGCAATTTCGCGTGTTTTTTWAAATTGCCCTTTTGGCTAAAACTTTGCCCACACTGATCACAAACAAATGGCTTCTCTCCTGTGTGGACTGCCTTATGATAATTCAAAGAGCTCCTATGGCTAAAACTTCGCCCACACACGTCACAAGAAAAGGGCTTCTCTCCTGTGTGGACTCTCATGTGCATGTTTAACTCTCCTTTTCTGCAAAACGTTCGATCACACACATCACAACTAAATGGCCTCTGTCCAGTGTGGACTAACATGTGTTTGTTCAAATTGTCCTTTTTGGTAAACCTTTGCAAACACAGATCACATCTAAAAGGCTTTCGTCCTGTGTGGCTTTCGATGTGTGTGTTTAAATTGGCAATTTGTCGAAAATGTTTCCCACACAGATTACAGCGATATGGCTTCTGTCCAGTGTGGATTCTCATGTGTTTGTGTAAACTACAAATTAAGGCAAATGTTTGCCCACATACCTCACAACAAAATGGCTTCTGTCCTGTGTGGATTCTCAAGTGTGAGTTTAAATTAGACTTATGTCTAAACCTTTGCCCACATGCTTCACAGCAATATCGCTTCTCTCCTGTGTGGATGCTTTTGTGTGTGTTTAAATAGGACTTCTTTGCAAATGTTTGCCCACACACGTCACAACCAAACCGCTTCTGTCCACTTTTGTTCTTTTTTACACCTGAGTTAGGAACTTTGCTGGTTGAAGGCTCCCCATCTTTATTGGTGTCTTCATTTTTTGACCCAGAGTCTGTGCAACGTTTCAGCTGAGAGTTAGGATTGTTCACATCATTTCCCTCTTTATCATCCTCACTGTCTTCAGTTTCTGGGGAGTCAGAATCATCATCATCCTCCTCAATGATTTCGATTTCTGACAAGTCAGAATCATCATTACGACTAACTTCGGTTACTGAAGAGTCAGAATCTTGTTCACGAGTGTTCAGATCTGGGTTTCTTGGAGTTTCGACTGTAGCTCTTGATTCCAGATTGCCAGCTGTGCTGCTGGTTGGAAGATCTTTGACTTCAACTTGGTGTTGATGAAGCTGTAAGAATGGAAGTTTATCTTCATCATCCTCACCAATCGAAGGTACTGCAGGGAATGGAAAGCTGGTGGCAGCAGTCTTGTTTTTAACATTGAGCTGCTCTTCTCCCAGATTGGACCTCAATTCCTCCTCATCCTCTTTTTCCTGAAGGTGTTCTTCATCCTGCTGGTCCACATCCGACCTCTGCTCTTCAGGAGCTTCTTCTTCAATCAGCGACAACTCCTTAACATCTTCAGGAACCACTGAAAACACATATACAGTACATTAAGGGAAAATGTAGCTTTATATTTACAAATTTTTTAGAGTATTCAGATTTTTTTTTTTTATTAAACAGGTTCCAGTGCTAAACTGGAAGCAGAACTTGATTAGTACCAGCTTCTTTCTTTCCCAACACTGCAAGCTCTGACTTTACCACAAAAAACACATCACTAACTCAACTTTTAGGGGTTTTCCACTAAAATGTTTTCAGTAGACCAGGGATGGTGCTAGAGTTTGTTTGAAATCCTTTTATCCATGGCTGCTGACCAAAAGAGAGTGTGCCGCCCTCCAGAACCGGTGGCTGTGATGACCAAGAAACAGTAAGCCTCAGCCATGCAGTGTAGGGACACATTCCCACATTGTCTGTTGAAAATGGCRACAGTCTCTTTATTTTACAAAATAGCACTTCTCCTCAATTAACAACAGAAATRCCACAACCAGTGTTTCCCCAACTTTACTGGCCTTTGGAAGCTGGTATTCCCTACTATATGTGGACCATTTTTGGAATACACACCTCCTTGTGGGGACCAATTAGTACTTATGGGGACCTAAGCCTAGTCCACAACGGGGGAAATGCCATCGGTGGGTCTGGGATTAGGTTTAGGACTAAGGTATGAAWTGAGTTTAGGTCTAGATTAAAACCGRGTTCACACCAAACGCGTTACGAGCAGCAAAAATTTGCCCAACGCCTCAAGTTGGAYGCACTACGGTCAGACCGGGACACAGACAAGACGTGAGTCTGAAGAGGGAGGAGCGTCTTGGTTTTTTTCCCGGTCTGTCTTTAATGACGGGTGAAATAAAGATAAAATAAAGAAAATGGCTTTGCTTTACTTACTGAAAGCAAGCRAAYGTTTYGCAAAGCAGATAATTGTTGACTTTTTGCACTTTGAGGAAAAAGGTTGTTTACTTTTACAAAAAAAAATCTGATCACAATCAGATCACATTGAGAGCTATTTTTGCAGTTGTTCCTCCACATCCAAATATCAGACAGAAAAAAATCTGATGAAAATATGGTTCATATTCTGTCACCAATACTGACCCACAAAGAGTCACGTGCACTAGTTATTTTTATTTTATTTATTTTTTGTGTCCCCACCACCACCACCCTAGGGGGAAACATCGGTTTTATTCCAAATAGAAACGTATCGATAAGAGAACCGTTAAAATACCGGATCGATAAGCAGTACCGATAAGAGTAGTAGTATTGATAAAACCTTAACGATACCCATCCCTAATGTGTGTGTCTCTGTCCTTTTTCTCTGTGTTCCACTGACAGTTTTCATTAGGCATGTTGCTGTTTTTGCATCAAAAATGCTGGGATATTAAAACAGTCATTTATTTTACGTAAAAAATATATTAATCTGATTAATATACAAAAACATAATATTTAACACTAGATAAAATAAATCATTAATTAATTTATTTTTTTATTTTTTAAGGGCTGAAAGAAGAAATCCTGTGTGGCAGCACTTCATACAGCCTGCACCACACAAGGTTCAGTTAATAAATGCTTTTGTTTGTTTTGCTTTAAATTGAGACCCGTGTAACATTTTTTAAATCATGTTAACGGAGGAAGAAAAGGCTGTATTGGCTTCAAGAATCTGCAAAATAAATCGGCTGCACGTATCGGCGTATCGATTAGACTGTCAAAAAAAAAATCGGTATCGGTATTGGCCTTCAAAAACCTGTATCGGTCGATCTCGTTTTGAGGAACAGACCAGAAAAGGGGTGAAACAGCGGCTGGTAAAATTAGAATAAGAAGGAATTCAGACATTTCCCCTACATGTAACAGATCGTGGCGCACCGCCACAGCAAAATAAAAGCCACCATACCTTTGGAATGAAGGTTTTTGTTTTTATCAACATAAAACAGGGGTTGACACAATCATTGTTTAGGTTGTCCAAGACAACACATTTTCGTTTCGGACAACCAGATCCCGCCTCCCGGTTGTCCAGTGGAAAACCAAGAAAAAAAGACCTAGATTAAAGTTTTCCGCAGCAGGTGTTCATTATTGTAAAAATGAACGGGAGAAAAAAAAACTTGTTAAAGCCATCTAGGGATTAAACTGACGATTCTTTCACCCAACAGAGAGAACCGCAGTCAAAGTTTTACCCAATCAGAACACAGCAGGGCGGGTCGTGCCATCTGCTCGCTGCCTTTTTTCATGCTCTGTGGGTGGGGGGTCAGCTTCACTCAGCTCAGGTGAACACCTCCCAGGAAAGCCCTCAGCGTTTCCTGGACTATTTTCCACCAAGGATTACGTCGTATTTTATATATATTTCTAAAAGCAACTCGCAGCATTTCCACCATCACTGTGTGCTCACGAGCACAACAAAACTGCGACAGATCACCTGACTGTTTATAAAGCGAGGGCTCAGGGAGGTTTGACCGCAGAAGCTGCACCTGTCCACCTGCAGCACGGCTCCGAGTTCCCCGGGACTTAAGAGAGCTAACGTTAGCTTCTTCTTGTAGAGTTTAACTCCGTGTGAAAGAACAAAACAAAACAAAACAAAAAAAAAAGTTACCCTGTGTTTAAATGTTAGTTTTACATTTCTCTGTTCAGGGTGACTCAAGTGTTTTACTTTTTTTCCAACTAGCAACCTAACAGATTCCTGTCCAAGTTTAATAATGTGAGAGAAATCCACAATTTTCTCTTTAGTCGGTCAGTGTTTAACACAGCTGGCACAATAAATTTTATAAAATATAATACTATACTTTTTTATTTAGTGTAAAATTAGCCCTTCATGTCATAGAAAGACCCTTGATTCAAGAGAAATGTCAGGTTTTTAGGAAAATGGTCGCTAATCAATTAATCGTTAGTCGATCGATAAGATCAATCAACCTTAGTTTAATCTATTAATCAATAACTTGCATCCCTAGTCAAAATTTGTTTTTTTTTTTTAATAGGAATAGCGCTTGTTAACAAAGTGTGTTGACGCTCGTCTTCGTCACTTGACACATTTCACAAGCTGACATTGGTTAAGGAGTTTTGTTTACAAAACACAGTCCACATGGTTTTTAAATTATTTTAATTTCCTTTCTTTCCAAGACAAATTAAGTTGATTTGATGCTGCAGTTTACCTTGTAATATTATTTGATACCTTTTCTGCTATTTTTGCATTGGCTAATGGCCCCATTGGTTCTACTGTGAACTGCAGCAAGAAAACATGAGCTGATTTCACCTAAACAAACTAGGGGTGTCCCGATCCGATATCGATATCGGTCCGATATCAGCCAAAAAACGAGTATCGGATTTTATCGACCTGCATAAAAAATGTCCGATATAAGCACTCCGATATTAGCAGTTCAATCCAGCAGTTCACTGACTCCGCTACAGTGTTTCTATCCAGCAGCGCTTGGATCCAGCATGCAGCGCTCACGTGATCACAACAACATGCTGCGCTAACAAGTTAGCAAGAATGTCGGCAGAACTTTCTATTTTCATCAGAAACAGAGTTGAAGCTAAGTGCAAAGTTGTCACGCACAAGTTTTCCGAGGGGAAACACAGAACCGTGAACGTTTTAAACCGGAGCGACAACTACTCTCCACCCTGGAAGCAGCTTTGCGTTTCGACTCGGTTCAGCTTCGTTCCAAAAGTATCTCCATGATTCCAACCGAGCAGAACCTCCTCTCACTCCCGTGGTTCTAGCGGGCAGAAGCGAGGACAGCACGCTTTTTACCAAGGGCGGAGTGGGTAATCGGGACAATCGGGACGAATCC